TTTGATGACCTTTTCAGTAATTCAATTCAATTCAATTCAATTCAATTTATTTTTGTATAGCGTCAACTCATAACAAGTGTTATCTCGAGACACTTTACAAAAAGCAGGTAAAATACCTTACTCTTTGTCTGTTAACATTACAAAAGAGCAGGTAAAAAGACCTTACTCATTGTTATGTTACAAAAAGCAGGTAAAAGACCTTACTTATTGTTATGTTACAAAAAGCAGGTAAAAGACCTTACTTATTGTTCTGGCAGGCCGTCAACCAACGATCTTGAGGAACACTTTTTACATTGAGTAACTTCATTTACCATGTTTCATTGGTAGTGTTAGAGTCCATGGAGTGAACTGTTACCAGTGTAATTGTTTTGAATTTTATCCCAACAATATCAGCCTTATGTTTCCTCTTATCTCCCCTTCAGACAAATGCTAACCAAAGTCCATTCTCCAAATGTTCTTTCTGCTGCTGCTTCTTATTATAAAAGTTCAAATGGTGATTCACCAGTTTGGCTTTTGTTGTGACCTAATTTAAAATGCAGTGTATTATGAGTGACATTTGTGCTTGCCTATTGAAATGCATCAACCAAATGTATTCCTAACATTAGTTTTGTAAAGCAGATGAATTTAAAATAGTGAGAACAGTAATGAAACTGGAAGTCAAAGCACATAGATGTATGGAGAAAATACACCATTAAGTAGTTCAGACTCCAACCCACTGTGACTGAATTGTATGTGTTAAGAATCAAGGAGCATTTCAAAGAATAAAAACTGTATGTAGAAAAATCCATACTTCAGTTCAACCCACCCACTTTGTATAAAGCCCCATATCAAGCTGGCATTGTGTCACTTCTATAGAAAGCTGAGAAAAAAAGATGAAATAAACATCTCCAATGAAAAATATAACTTCACAAACACCAGTCAGAGCTGCGTTGACAGCCCCAGATTGAAGTTAGAAAAAAAAGGCCTTGAGTGCCAGTGAAATATAAAGCTGATAAATTCACTCCACATACAAGTACTGAAAACCAGAAAATGTTACCTGTCAGTGTTGTTTTGTTGTGTGAGTGCTGTGACTGCTTCCCTTTGAAAGGAACCGTTGAAGTAGCCCTGTCCAGGCTGAACTTGCCCATACTCATTACTGTTTCTTTGTTCGCACCCGACATTGTCAGAATTCCACTCGGCAGCCGCAAGACAAGAAATATGTGTTAGTCCCACCTCATAATGTTTGACGTCAACGTGATATAAACGCAGAAATAAAAAGAATTGCAGAAGATTAAAAAAGATGACTATGACATTTACCTCCGATCATTTCCTCTGGATGGGGGCTGTCGTCTGGTGCCGCAGTACTAACACCATTAGTTTAATTAAAAGCTGGTTCAGATGTAAGACAAGAATTTTATCAGTCAATGAAGTCAGCGGCCCACTCCGAGTCAAAGAGCAGAGTGAGGCTGTATATCTGAACACCAGCTCAGATTGCTTCTCTGCTAAGACATTGTGTCAATGGAGCTGAGCAAGCACTCAATGTTTGCTTTCAGCAAGAAGATCTGATAACTACAATCAAAACTTCCTATGATGCTTATATTTATATTATGTTCTTCTCAAACGACATGATTAGAATTTTCCTCTGAGTGCTACTATAGTTATCATAAATCCAGAAATGTGAGGAGAACACAAAACTGTTGCTTAAGCTAATTATTTATATTGACAATTACGTTAATTGGTGGATACGACCGGCGGCATGTACAGAGGCTGTGGTCCTTTTAATTGTGAAGTCTGCGGTTCAACTTCGACCCACCAGCCCTCTTCCCACAATATACTCCCCACTCTCTTCTCCTAAATTGGCTTTACAGCATTAAAACAGTGTGGCATCCTCTTCCACTTACTTCAATAGAGTTAATGTGTGACAAGTGCAATGGCAACGCCCCCTTGATTTACTTATCATTTGGGCTAAATGCATTCAGCCAACAGGCCAACGACTTATGACCAATGACACAACAGTAGTGTTACCGACTGTAACTCCAAACAAACGTACTAAATATCTCTTTACTTTAGAAACGGTAAGTTAAACTCCCAATGCTGATTCAGTTAGCCTCTTAATGGCATTTCCCATTGCATGTTAGCATCAAGCTAACAATCTAAGATGTACATTCTGGTCCATCTGTGAGAATGCCCCCCCAATATGCCAACTGCCACTGGTGACTTCACATGCCAGAAAAACTGTGAATACAAAAACAGTGTAGTATTGAGCCCTGGTTGTTATGAATCACAGTTAATGGATTTAAAAACTATATTTTGGCTCAAAGTTAACATAGTTTTTGTCTTTATATTTGAGAAACTTATTTTCCCGTCTCTATGCTTTTCTCACTTAAATGAGACTTTAACAAACGTTTCTAGTTGAACCAGTAATTGTTGTCCAAAGTCTGTTGAAGGTTCTATTGTGCCCATGTGTGAACAAAAGCATGTTATTGTCCCCAGATTCAGAGCCAAGAAAATGTAATTTACAGAGGAAGCTGACAGTCTGTTAACAGGCGTGCACTTCTCTGAAGGCCTGAGTAACATACACACTGTTATACACACTAGTTGCTGCACGTTTATACAGTAAAGAGTGCTATGTACCTGAGTTTTTCAATGTGGATATGACATTTTATTTTAGAACATCTTGATAGGTTTCTAACTTTGTGAGTCACTTCATGACATTTGCAAAAAATAATTCACTGCTTAGTGGACATAATGAAGGAGTGCTTGCATTAAAGCTAACCCCCCTTAGTTCACGCAATAACTGAAAAAAGTAGCAGGAAACAATCAGGTTTATGAGCCCCGCTGTTCTTCACTTCTCTTTGTGGGCAGCTTTTTCTGATTGAAGTCTGTTTTTCTTTTGTGCTGTTGTACTTTGAAGTGTACTTTATATGTATAGCCAGTGGTGTGTTGTGCTTATTTTCTATAAGAACACTTTATGCTTGAGTCCTCCTGAGAACTTCCCTTCTTCACCTTTTTGCCTCAAATGTCAAAAAACGTTTTTTTTTCTTTGTGTGTAAGGAACACAGGTTTTCATATACATTTTTCTTGTTTGAATTTCAAAACGTAGGCAAAAAAGAAAAAAAAAAAGAAAAGTGCTGACTACAAATCCCCCGAGCAGAACATTGGGTTTGATCATTTATAGACTTGAGAAACAAAATGTGCAAACAGAAAATGAAAATGTTTTACAGGACTGAAACATTGATTTGCAGTAAATGCAGCCTCTATGAGTGAATTTCAATTATAGGATGGACATCCCGCATTGCTTTGGTGTACTGTTGAGCTTTGAGTTAATTATTTGGTTGACTAATGTGAAGGCCCTAAGCGAGAGCAAAAAGCAGAACAAAAAACCCAATTTTCCCCTTTTCTACTATTGTACATGAAGAAAGGAGTGCATGAGTCACAATCATGTTTCTCTATAGCTGTTAGAGGTTATTAGAAACAGGAAACAGCTTAATCAGCATTTAGAAGTAGGTCTCATTGTTTATTTTAAAGATTTATTTTGGGCTTTTTGTGCCTTCATTGTAGAGATAGGACAGTGTGCAGAGCTGGAAATCAGGGAGAGAGAGAGAATGGGGAACGATGTGCAGGAAAGGAGCCACAGGTTGGACTCAACCCGGGTCGCTTGTTTTGAGGACTACAGTCTCTGTACATTGTGAGCGCACACTAACCACTAGGCTACCAGCGCCCCCTCACAGTTTTAGGATTTAAGGGGTTAGTTTTGAGAGCTCATTTGCTAAAACAGATAACTCTGTTTTAATTTATTGTTTATTTCAGGTAATTTCACTCAGACTCAAGTTGTGCGGCTTTGACCGAGTTCCCCACAGACTGTGTTTTTTTTTAATGTCTATTTAATGTGCTAATCTAAACTCTCAGGGTGCTGTTTTCCAGAATGGCTTTTATCTGTTTTTGCAAATGAACTCATTGATAAACGGTTTGGGAAATTTGAGGGGAAAAAAACGAGATCAAGTGTCTTACTGGGGTGGGGTAGGTATTCATGTGTTCAAGTGGCATTGAGGTTTTTTCTTTTTAATGATCACCTGTCTGTGCATCATAATACTGGATGTTTTTATTTATTTATAAATGATTGGAATAATGTTGGTTGCAGGGTACTGTTTCTACTGTATATCAACAATCAAATATCTGCTTAGTCGCACACTAAAAAAAATAGTGGCTTGGCACAATTCATTTTTTGTTTCATTGTTAAATAGTTTGTGCTGGAGGCAGGAGGGAGTTTCACTCGCTTGATTTATGTAACCACTTATTATGCCACCCTTGAGTTAGTGTGTGCAGCAATGAAAACAAGGCAGGAGAAAGTAAACTGTGTCATCAGAGAAGACATGTAAAAAAAAACGCAGATGATGCGTGATCCTTCTGACTCTGCCCCCGCATTTTAGACCACATGTATCCACAGATCGATGGAGAATTTATCGTCATGGTGATAAACGTACTAGAACTAAAGTAGTCGAGTAGTTGTATTGGAGAACCGCTGTTCAAATGTTAAGACAATTCTGTTGTTATAAATATTTTTAAGCAAGTACGGTATTTTGGCAGACTTTCACGCAGGAAGCAGTCGCAGAGTGTTGATATGTCATTGTGGATGGTTTGTGCTTCTACCTTTCTCCTCCCATTCTCGCTGTCTGCATTTATCATGCAGGTATCAGCTGGTGGTTGCTATTGACAACAATTAGAAACTTAACATAAGTCACATTATCCTCCTGCCTGCTGTAACCTGTAGCTGTAAACTAAGCCAAACAAGCAACATTTAACAGCTCTGTTTGGTTAAAAAACGATCTGATCCAAGGGACAAATCTGTGATCCGATTCCAAACAGTGAGATTTGTGATCTTTTGCTCCCCATCAAGCAGAGGGTGTGTACAAAAGTTTTGTTCATGTCAAAGATGGACTGCCTCATTAAGAAAAAAATGTGTTGTGAAAAACTTTGATTGAAACATTGACTTCAACAAATTAAATCTTCAATAAAGTATGTGAAGTTATATTTCCATTTCAGTTTGTTACTTTTAATTGGAAAATTGCTTTAAAATTCTTTAAAATCACTGCAAAATAATACAATTTGATTGTCATTCCAAAAACAAGAATAATTATCCCCCTGTCACATTAGGATGTGCTCACTCTTTGCCTCTAATGAACCCTCAAGCAAAGCATTCATCTGGGGCCGTATTCACAAAGCTTCATACATACAAAGAGGTGCTCCATAGTGACAAAATTCTTAGATTCAAGACATTTTTCTAAGAATTTCCCCGTAAAGTAAGGACTTCATCCTGGTAAAGATAGAAGTTATTCACAATGCATCTTAGCCTTTAAGAACGCTCATATGGTAGGAAACTGTTAGGAGCAGTGAGGAGAACTTTTAACTGGATTTAGAGTTTCTTAAGCAGAGGACAAAATAGAAAAAATGTTCTTCAAACACTGACTGAAGAATATTCTTATTGAATGATAGTATGGCTAAACAGACTAAAAATATCTATGCAGACATTTTAATCCATCTTGAACTTTCTACAGTAAAACTTGAAGCTGCACAGTGAGTTCCTCATAATGTGTTTACCTCCACAGGTGCATCTAATCACCTATTAAAGGCTCTTTATGTGAAGAGACGACTGTGGGGAGTGGGCATGTGATTTTAAACATTTTGTAGGTTATATACCTTAAAGTACGGCTTACAATTTATTCAACTGAGATGTTAATTTCATAGTGGTCATATTTACACAATGTGTGACTAGATTCTATGATTGGGCCCAATTGATTTCACAGTCCTTTTATGTCTATTATCAGTCAGAGAGCACTTTATTCTCAAGCTTTTGAATCAACCAATCACAGCTTCTGAAAAATGCCATGCCTAGAAACGGGGCCAACCACACCTCCTCAAGAAGAGAAAAGTTCCTGTCCCTTCATCACTCAGAGTTTCTCTGAGAATGTTCCTGAATCACTCCTAAGCTAGGACTCCTTGCTAAAAAAAAATGTTAAGCTCAGTTTGGAGCTCTCTGAGAGGATTCTTTGCATTGTTGTGACTGTCATCGGCACCATTGAGCTTTACTGTGTGTGCATAAACTACTGTAGGTACTGGTAGGAGAAAAGCAGTCAACTTGAGTGATTCAAAACAAGGACAATCCCTTCAAGCGGACCCGATCCTAAGTCAATTACCAAACATAATTGTAGATTTTGCTTTGTTGAACAATGAGAAAGCCCGGGGAGAAAACTGAGGCTTTCATCCTTTTTGAAGGGTGCTGATGATTCAAAAATTCACAGTATTGTAAGTTGCAGTAGAAAGAAGGTAATGACCTCTGTTGGGAAATTACTCTAACAAAAAAATGTTGAACTAAAGCAGAACAGAATGAGTGTAGCTGATTCTATTTATCTTCCTTATATAATGACATTTCATAAACAACTCTTTTGTTGAACTCAAAGATGATTGATGATATCTAAAAACTTCATCGTCCCCAGCTTAATGCAGTCACTTCATGATGACTGAGATCCTTTCGTCCCTTGTGTGGCCAGTGAGTCATCCCTGGATGATGAATGCTTAGCAAAGCACACACACACACACACACACACACGCACACACACACACACACACACACACACACACACACACACACACACACAACCATCAGCACAGTGAAATGCTTTGATATCGACAAATCGACAGAATGAAGTAGGGATCAACAAAAAATGTCAAGAGCTTGACAGTGAACGGACAAAAAGGAAAAGAGACTTTGAAAGCTCTGAACGACGGTAAAGGTGTTTTTCTGTCTTCAACTGAGACTTGTCTCATTTAAGAGACCTATTTTCTTCAAGTGATGCTTAACAAAGAGACTAGGCCACGTATCCTTCAAAAAGAGCTAACCAGTTAACCTTATGTTACTTTAAAAAAAGGAGAACTAGATTGATCAGACAAAAGCTCTCCTTTTTTTTGGTCACATACGCTTTTTGTCGCCTTGTGATGCGAGTCAATAAGTTAAAGGACACACTAGGTGAGATGAGCCAAAGGCGGGTGCTGTCAGAACAGCACGGTGTCTGGTTCTGGCTCGGCAGAGCAGCTGCTTTGATGCCCCGGGAGCAAAGAGAGCTGAGTGTAATTTTTCAGTGCCTTAGTGGTGCATTGCATGCTTGGAAGGCTGCAGCACCGAGAAGGTTTCAGAAGAGTCAATGAAGAAAGCAAGCCTGTGGGTAAAAAAAAAAGAAAGTTGTGAAATTATCTTAGTTTGCTGGTATTTTACCACAGATTGTATTTCATTGAATGTCTGCACCCTGTTGGTTTCATCATCTCCTCCCTGAACTCCCAGAGACAGGAAACACTCACAGGTTAAGGGTTAGACATTAAACTTTGGTGTCTGAGTTGAAATGCAGGTTTGCTTGCAAATTAATTCAGAGAAGGAACTTTCACTTATATTTACCCTGATAACAAAGCAACCTTTTTTTACCCTGATCGGGTTCAATTTTCAAGTGCTCCATAATGGACTGTTAAATGTTGCTCTTTATCACACATGCCACACTGCATTTGCATTTAAGTCATGTCCTTGTAAAAAACAATCAAATTCATACCTATTGTTTTACATGTGTACCAGTTACCAGCAGACAAATCAGAGATTTATATTTAGGATGCTGTTTCCCAATTTAAAAACCTTACCATACACTTGAATCCCAAGAATTTACTAACATATAGGAAATTATTTCTGGTTGTACTCTTTGAAGACTCTTTGAAGAGACAAAGTTTGCAATGCCTAACCTTACTGCTAATTTCCACATAGCCCATGCGCGCCGCAGTCCGGCAGCACCACGTACTGTACTACGACGCCATACACTGCCACTCTAGTCCTGTTTCCACAGCAAGAGCAGTGGTCTGGAGCGTCCCAGCAGCCCCACTACGCTCTGCTTTGTTCCTAATACGCTTTCAAGTCTATACCTCCGAGAGAGCCTGCTGCACGCAAGCTGAACAGAAGAGATCGACCAAGAAAGGAAATCAGACAAGGAAATGCACAATATCCCGCTTGTATTTTCAATCACCCTATCAACATAACGTCAAAACAGGAAACATTGAATTAACAGCAAATCACCCTCAGAAAGACAAAGCAGCATGTTGTTTGCTCCTTTTTTTTCCTCTTGATTTCTTGCCTGATCTTGTAGTTTTCCTGTGATGTGTAGAGCTGCTCATGGCTTGGCTCATCCCCCAGTGGTGGGGCAGGGCATGCGCCATATGAAGGAGCGAAACCGTGATGCTGACGGAACACAGCGTGCACGGACTATGTGGACATTGGCAGTTGGTCATTGGCCTCACACAACCCGATCAGTTGGCAAAAAGACTGCACAACTTTATTCATACTGTAAGCCCTTGGTGCCATAACTTGTACAAGATTTGTCGACATTAAAACTAAGTTATGTTAACCTAATTAGAGAGCTAGTGTGTTGGACAAAACTGTGTTTTATTGAGGTCATCTCTTAAAGCTTAGATTCTAAAGATAACTGTAAATGAACAACATTGACTCAGTCATTCATTTTAAAGAATAGCTTGATGATTCTGTGCGTTTACTTTGACATGCGTCTTACATTGATGTCATTTATTCATTCATCAGAAGAATGATTTTCCCTTTCTTTAAATTCCTCAGGAGTTGTGAAAACATAAAAAGTCAGGAGCTGATACTGCCATGCCCTCGGCAGAAGAGGAAGAGAACATCTCACACAGGATCTGACAGGTAAATGACAATGAAGAATGGAAGTCACTGATTGGCTGTTTGCTAACAAATAGACAAAATCAGTCAGCCATGCATGTTGACGCTGAAACCACTTACTGAGTGGTAACTTGTTCTTCCCCAGTACACAACTTGAGGGCATATTAAAAAAGTTCAACCAACCTGTTAGAAGGTTTTAGTCTCTAAAAACTCATTTATTTCAATTTCCCTTTTTAGGTTGATAGATTTAGAGGCTACTTAGTAAATTAACCTGAAAAGAATCCCTTTATAAGAGGTCACCAGTAAAGTCATGACTTTTCTCTTGCCTGCCATCAGCCATAAAACTCTAATGTCCACCTTAAATAGACCTTCACCATATCAATAACAATGCCATATCGCTGTGCTGGGTCCATTTTTACATCCTTAAAAAATAAATCTTTCTTACTTATATCATTGTCCATGAAGGTGCATGACATGCAAATTGATTAAATTATCTGTTTTTTGTAGTCCGCTTTATTATGATACCATTAGAACAAAGTGTAATTGTTCACCTAGTGTAATACTAATACCTATTGTATCATTTGTTTTAACTTCAGCATTGTAATAAAGAGTTCCTATCAGACAAATCTATCCAGTTTCTTCACATATTAGTTGTGAGAAATGAATAATCCTCACCATCACGGTCTCCATGTGAGCACAAATCAGCAGCATCCCACTCGTAATTTTCATCGACTGAGGCCTTTCTCCTGGAGAGGTCACAACACAGAACTTTATTTCAAAAAGAGTTTGAATGTTTAACACTGACATACGTACACTCATTGGTGACAAGAATTATGAAAACTCTTGGGATAAACTATCCATCATGTCCAAAAAAGACTTCTTATTTTTGCTACTTATTTCTTCTGTTTTCATGTGTCCATCAGATTCAAACTGAACATTTTATTGCAGTTTTATTTGCTAACAGTAATAGGTTTGATATTACTTTGTGAACAGTATTTCATTATTACCTACCAAAATAGATTATCTGTGAATTTCTCATATCTGAACAACATCTGTTGCTGCAATATTTGCTGAGCTATAAAAAAAAAGAAACATTGCTTCTGATATTGTGCTGATATTGCTCACACTGTATTTCTTATCTTAGCAAGAGGAGCAAACAAATGTTAGAAGTGATGCTCTTCAATACAGTTTTAAGTATAAGTCACTGGTAAGACACATCTTTGAATCAAAATTGCTGTAATACCTTTGGCTTGGTTCCATTTGGAGACTGTGTTTGTCATCTGTGCTCTCCTGGGTTTCCTCTACAGTCTCAGGTGAGCTGGTGAGGGTTGGGGAAAGTTGACACACAGAAAGACGTCCGTTAGCTGGCTCCATACTTCCTCGGCCACTGCTGGCATAACTGCTGTAGCTGCTCCCTGACTCTCGCACTCCATCGTAGCCTCCTGCTTCTATTTCTAGAGGCTCTTGATCTTTTTTGTCTAATGGATAGTATGTGTAAGCTTTCTTCATGGCCTCCAAGGAACCTTCAGCCTCTTTCATGGACTCCTGGTAGGGGACTGTCCATTTGGCTTCTTTACAGATGGACGCCTCTCTTGTTGGCTCATAGTGACAAGGCACGTTGAGATTTAAACTAGGCCTTGGAGACATAGCATCCACAGTGGGAGGTAAACGGGAAGCAGCTTGGGCAGCAGAAGGAGTACTTGCAGGAGATTTGAAGATCTTCCTTGACGGCGAGCTCAAGGGCTCCAAAAACAGAGATTGTGGACGAGAGGAAGAAGCAACAGAGCAGTTCTCTTGGCTGAGTGAATCTATCCACGCGGCAGGAGTCAGGAAATTGCTTTCTTTCCTTCTTCTTGAGTCGAGGCTTTGACTTCGTCGCTTGGAGTCCCACATTTTAGAACTTGGGGTTGCAGCTTTAGTGCTGGCAGGAAGTTGCACAGAAGCTGGGTCAGTGATAACATCAGCCACAGGAGCAGAACCACGGCAGTTAAAGCTTGAACGCCTACTCATGTCTCTGAATCTGCCTCTGCTAGTCAGTGAGTGCCCTTGTTGCACATGGGAGGCGATTCTTTGGTGAAGCATTGGCTCTGTAGGTTGCATGACACACACATCCATCTCGGGGTCATCCACACTCATCTCAATGCACATGTATTCATGAGTGGGCTCAGGGACCACTACCTCCAATTCTGAAGAGTCTGGCACTGCATTTGGAGCCAAATTTAATCTTTCTGTGTAATTATTGCTATGGAAAGACAACGTTGAAAGGCTGCCACGACTAAGATTGTTCTGTGTCCGTGCCTCGGAGCATGATTCAAATGTTTGCATTTCTAAGAGTGTCGATTGTGGTGAATTATCATAACCCTCTGGTGCTGCCTGTATCCTTTCATGTCCCTGGTGCTTTGAGGACAGATGTGGGAGTGTTAATCGGTCTTTGGGAAGGCTGCCTCTCTCGTCAGATCGGAGATAGGACTGCCGGGTGAACGATGGGGCAGGATGATGGTTATAGGACTGAAAACAAGATGATCTTGTAGGTAACGTCTCATTGAAATGGCTTGGGATAGGGATCTGAGAGCAAGGAGAATCAAGAGTACGGGCATCCCAATACACAGACGATGAAGAGAAAGGGCTCTGTGACCAAGCAAAGCTCTCCTTGCTGCCTTGGGGCAATCTGTGAGGCAATGTGCTGCTCTTATATTGCCACACATGATCACAAGTGTCAGCCTCTCTCCCTTCCAAGTCTAATTGCTCCCTATTGAGTTCTCTCACAGAGCTTCTTTCCATCGTGTACTTCTGGAGCTCGATCTCCAGCTCCTCTCTCTCCTGAGCCAGTTTCAGGCAGTGGCTCAAGTTTCCTCTCTCCCGCTCGTGCTCCATTTGGAGAACGAGAGTGCTGGCTGTGGTAGATGGCTGACCTAGGCTGGATCGGATATGTGGGAGCACAGGAAATGTTGGAGCAAATTTTCTGTCTTGATAAGAGACAGTAGCCAAGCTACTGTTTGAGCACATGCTGCGGAGGTCAGGAACGCCATCGCAGCTTGACTTGTGATCATAGATATAAGAGCCATAATTGGGCAAGGGCTGGGCCATGCCACAAATTTGTTTTCTTGAATCAACCACTGCTGGTGTGCTCAGCGGGAGATCAACAGAGAGTACAAAAGGTGGCTCTTTGCTGTCCCTCTCAGAGAGTAGTGACACAGATCTTCGGACTCTTGCTGGTTGGCCATGCCTTACGTTTTTCTTGCTCTGAATTGTCATTGTATCATACTGCGGGAGCACAAAGCGCCCATCTGGACCTCGTGAGATCAACTCCACTGAAGAAGAAATTGGGGAAGAATGTGTCCTCATAAGGCGACCTCTGCTGTAGTTTGAGAGAGGATGCTTCCGCTGTTGAGGATTCTCAGTGCCGAAGGAGGAACAGTCTGTCTGCGAGGAGGAGGTGGTGGTGGTAGAGGAAGTGGTGGGATAGAGGTTGCTGGCTGGAAGTAGGCTTTTCTTCAACATACTGTCTGGACTGCCGGTGCCTGAAGTCTTACTGTGTCAGAGAGAGAGAAATACAGAGAGAGAAGGAAAGAGGGGGAGTGAGGGGTGAAGAACAAAATTGTAAGAAAAAAACGGAGGTGTAAGAGGGAGTGAAAATAAGACCGAGAAAATAAGATTGAGTAAGAGTGAAAGTGGGGGCGGGAGAGATGCAGACAGAAAGAGACCAAAAACAGCAGAAGCAGCAGTAGAATAAGATGAGACAGAGAATGAGGATATGTAAGAGAAAATGACTCTGGTGTTGGCATTTTCAATGTATATCAGTTTGTAAGGCGAAGCAGAGGGAAAGGTTAATGAGGGGGTATTAAAATAAAATGATGAAGGGGTACTTACATTGATGGGGAGCGTTTATGGATGGCAGGATGGGGCTCTGAATGGGAGGGAGAGGGGTAAAATGGTATCTGACTCATTAGGATACAACCACTGACCAAGGAGTAAAAACATAATCAACCCTAATAAGAGCCCATTAAAGGGCCCGAGGCACCCAAGCTTGTCCAAAAAGTTAATTACACTTACATTTATCAGCCACTAATGAGAAATTACCCTAATTAGCAAGTAATGTAAATGACATCAATAACTTTTACAACTGAATGGACGAGCGGGGGTACAAGAGGAGCGCCAAATCCATGCAGTGGGGTATGATTTATATAATGGACTGAAAGTGCCTTCAATATTTTATTGAATAAATGATGATATTCATGATGCAGTTCATCAAAGTGAGTGTCTGCTGAGTCTCTCGAGTGAGGGGCGTTTTACCATCCTTCTTTCTGCGCCGCTGGTCCCTCTTGTAGCTGATGATATAGGCGGACCCCAGCAGCAAGACCAGTGCCAAGCACATGAAGCCGACCCCGCCCAGCACGCCGGCTAATGAAGGCTTTGGGACGAACTCCAGAAGTCGAGATGGGGCAGGGTAAATCTCCATCCCTATCAAATATTATAAACAAGTGGTGATATTTATGTATTTTTCAAAATAAAGACAAGGTAAGCGCAACCAAACTGTTAGCATAACCATCATCTTAAAAGATACTTGTGACCAAATGAAAGGGTTAGGCCTGAGTCAGGAAACCCCTCATCCAAAGTCATGGCTACAGTTGCCACCCCAACAGATTGCAGAAACAATACCACATTGCCTCTCATGGCCCCCACAACCCAACTGTTGCGACCATGGGTAGCAAGAGCCAGGCAAGCACCAGGGTTATCAAGTTAGGAACTCCCTTCATGGATGTTTGGTCCAGTTTGGTCCACAACTTTTAAGGAAGGGGTCCCAGAGCCAACCCCCCCTCTATTCTAGATATTACCACTCATCGTACCCACCCTCTGAACATATTTGTGCTTTGTTAAAACTGAGGGAGGGGGTGGGGCAACTCTTTCAAGTACAAACATTACACATAAAAAGAATGGGTGAAAGGAGACAAAATACTAAACAGAAAAGAGATTTTAGAAAAAGCACAGGAGATGTAGATTCAAGGTGAGGAGCCCTGAAATTAAAATAAAGAGGAAAAAAACCTTCTTCTATAATAATAAAATAAATTAAAAGATATCATGATTTATGTGATCATACTGACTGACCTACAGTAAATTCACATTTCAAGACACTTAAAATAATGCAACTTGTTTACACCAACTGCAAATAAACTCATAAATTTGTCAAATAAGATTGCTTGAGATTTTACCTTAACAGCTTTAAGTGGATCTAATTTGCAATCAGCGTCCCTGATGATCATTTTCAGCGAATCATCAACTTGATTGTTTTGCATAATTTACTCGAAACGTTACATTTGATTTTATCAGCAGAGCTATGTAAAACAATATACAATCCTCGGGTGATGCCATTTAGGCTTGTAAAGCCATCTGTTTGATGAATCTGTACCATATCTGATGAAAAATTCATGTCCCATTCACATAGGAATCAGAAAATACCAGTATAAATGACATCTATAAGTCTAGTGAGGAGTTATTAGTGAAGCTATCTCTATCACTCCGGCTTCTAATGGACAGTGTTCCCCGGGGCCCTGCTCTAATTTTGGTCTGACGCTGGGAACAGAAGGAAGGGGAGAAAGGAAAAAAAGAGAAGGCGAGTTAGAAGGCGCCTGATAGAGGAGGATGGGTTGTAAGAGAGGGTGGGGCGAGAATGCAAAGGCAAGGTTGCTCTTGAAACACCTACCCACTGTGGAGACATTGACTGATGGACTGGGCTCGCTCAGCAAGTCCCCACGACGAGATAGCAGCCGCAGCTCGTACACACAGTCCTGGGACAAGCATCGGCACGCACACAAACACACACACACACACGCATACACACACACACACACACGCATACACACACACACACACACACACACATACACATACAGTGGGGAGGACAGAGGATAAAACCACACTTTGTCAACACGGACTGTGCCTGCAATGCTAATGAAGATGATTTGAATTTGTCTGGGCCTATACAGGACAGCATACGAAAGATGGGGGAAGAAAAGACAGCGCTCACAGATTGAAAGAAGACAGAAAAGCCATGTCGGCTGTATACTGAGCATAATTGAGAATCTACAAAAGTAAAATCACTGAGATGTAGCCTAGATAAAAATCTCCAAGGCATTCAACAAGCGGTGTGAACTGATTAGTCTCAGAGGGAGCAATGTGACTGGCTTGTTACCTTGTGCAGACCCGGAACAACTACCGCACTACTGTTGGCACTGATGTCCTCATCCAGATTAAACCACTCCCCTTGTTCGGTGCGGGACTGAAGAACAAAGGCTGTGATGGGAGGATGCTGTGCTTCGGGAAGGGACCATTGCAGAATAACACCTGCTGAGCCCTGATCAGCCGACAGCGACGCAGGGGGCTTTAGTTTACTTCTCCTCAGTGGAGGATCTGTTGCAGGGGGAATAGGAAAGACCTTCAGTCGAGCAGCCAGACACACTCTGGCGGAAAAATTAAATTACAGCGCAGGAAATTGCTACTGCCACAGATGTTCAACCTTGAGAGTGTAAGGGGAAAGTTTGGAGTTTGTGAGTAATTCTGCAGACCACATAAGAACACAGTTTCGGTCAAGCTTTTCAGGTTTGATCAAACATAGGACCAGCGTGGTGTTAAAATATATATACTATATATACAGAGTCTAATCATTCATATTATTTTAGTCCCTTTTTTCTGTGATTTTGTGATGATGCAGGTGCATCCTACTCACTTTTCTACACCCTGCTGTTCAGGAGCTTCTTCTAAATGCAATTTCAAACAAAATTGTTATGCTTGAAGTAATGATGGATAATTAAGCATGAGCTTAATTAAGAGCTTCAGACGACTAAAATTGACAGGACCAGTCAGATGTTTCCTATCTCTCTGTCTCCGACTCTATCCTTCTAAATGCTTTTAAAACTTTGCATTCAGCTGGAGGTTGCATATTCAAATATATTTCTGTGATCTCTCAGCTGTATCAAGGATGCCTTATCTCTGCCAGAAACGTTAATCTGTTTCCAGGGGCAACATCAACATTTAATTCACAACTTTTCCTCAGACTGAGTCATCCACTGACTTGGCCTGCCATGAGCTAGGACAAACTACTTGAGATAAGTACATGTACTGTACATCCTGTTAAGAGAAAAGCAGCCGCACATTCTGTAAAAACACAGATTCTGAAGTTGATTTTACCCTGTGCACATATTTGAAATTCCTGTTGCCTGTCTGAGGTCATGAAATACATGTTAAGATTCAAGTCAATGCCTTTTAAAATGTAAAACCAGAGAACTTTTCAACAGTCACACAAGCTGCTCTGTCAGGCTGTAATTTGTAGGATACACACTGAGGTAAATACTTAGATGCTATAATGCTAACATGCTGACCTTTAGCTGCAGCTGAAGCTGAAAGGTTCATTTCTGAGTAGAATTTTATGTGACCAAATAACAAAGTAACATAATTTTATACAATGATGAGAAGCCTGAACTGAGGAAAAACAGACAATAATACTAGTTGTGTTAAAACAATCTTTGGCTGACAGACAGCAGCATACAGCTAACAAACTTATGACAAGTTTCTTTTGGCCTTTAGGAATGTTGCTCATATCAACTGTAGCTAAGTTTAATTACATTTTTAAACACTCGATATGATCTAAAGCTTTCAGCGTTTCCCTTTTCAAAATGTGATGGACAGCACCGGCTTGGAAACCAAGCCTCCCAGCTGAATGTTTTGTCTGCTGTTCATTGATAAAAACAAAAGACTAAGGAGAAAAGCAACACTTGCAAAAAGGTTTGTTAGACTTGGAACTTCATCTTGAGTATTTTAGACTCCCTGCACTGGTTTTCTATTATTTTCATAATTTGTGTGTATTTCTCTTAACCTGTAAGCCTGTACATAGTACATCAGTTCACTTTTAACTTTAACTGTCCAATAGAGCCTTTCAGATGTGTCTGGTTGGGCCTGCTTCAATCTCTGACCCATCACTTATAATCTCATGACGATGTACTGTAGCCTCTAGAAGCGATGGACAGTTTTTCAGGGCTTCCAATGTAGCCAGCAGTCAGGGATACGATTTACTTTTCTATGCATTGCCATTTTTTAAAGGCGACTATCAACCTGAAAGAAAGAATGGCTTAAAGATAAGTGATGAACTGTAAGAGTGGGTTATTAGCTTTACTTACAGATGTCTATTTAGATAGATGAATAAAAGCTTTAAATCACTCAGAAGCCAGCGGATGAAATCAGTTTTTCTACTCTTTTTACAGATTCTGGACATTTATACACAGACTCTATCAAAAGAGAAAAAGCTCTGCCGGCTGTTCCATAATTCAGGTTAATGTCTAAGTGTGATCGAGCTTGCTGTCACAACTTAGTAGTCCTAAGCAACGAACAATAGTCTGCTGAATTATTTTTTTTGTATTAAATCCTTTCTAAAACATTTATACATACATGTCTTTTATTCTACCAAATACCCTGCTCTGTTTGTGCAGAGAGAGTGGGGAAGAGATGCGAGAAAGGAACCACAGGTCGGATTTGAACCCGGCCGCTGGCTTGGAGGACTATAGCCTCCGTACATGGGGTGCCACCTAATCACTAGGCTAGGCCATCGCGCCCCAAGTAATTATTCTACTACTACTTATTCTACTTTTCATGATGCATTTGAAATGTCATTGACAAAGTATTATGAGTACTTTGTTTTCCTGTGCTCCTAGCTTTGAAAGGGCTGTGCATCGTCACAATAATTTTCATTGAATCTGCATTGATATAAAAAAAAAGAACGGATGGCCAGAAAGCAACAGATATAGAAGACGCTGTGTATAGTACTGACCCAATGTTTGCGCAGTGACAATATCACTAAAAGGCCCAGAGCCCATTTTGTTTTGAGACAGGATGCTGAACTGGTAGTCGGTGGCAGGAGACAGGCCTGTCACCTGCAGCCCGGTTCCAGAGGAGGGGGGGACGGGCACAGAAAACCATTCTTGCTTCCTGTTATTATCACGTCCTGAAATCTTTTTTACCCTGCAGAGAGAGCGAGAGATGGAGGAAAAAAGAAGTGAGAACAAAAAAAAAGTAGGTTTCATCAATCATTTATACGGTACTCATCATCAGCTGCAGATTTTGTGGCAGAGACAGCTCTGATGTATCCCTACAATTGCAAAGGAAGCTTTGCATCTCCAAATATGAGGATTTGCATGTTCTTACCAGGGCTAAGGTTTCTTCACATCCATCTTACACACAGCAAATTCATTGACCTTTGGCATAAAATAAAACAAATCACAGATTCACCACTCAAAACTGCAGAGGCTTTTGAAAATGATTAATGTCAGTCTGAAATGAAGGCATTTCTCCTTGACAGAGTTGCGAGTTCTTTTATGGGGAAACGGAAATGGAAAAGAATATCAAATGACTCTCATTAACCAAGCATTACTAATTATACACACAAGGCTGTTGCGTGTGAATTAGCCTCTTAAGTGCTGCATGAAACAGGTTATATTAATAAAGCACAATAAAGAGCTATACAACAAATGTGTGGGTGTTGTGTGGTCATTAATTTCACAATAATTTGATTATAAAACATGATAATGAGCGTTCACAGTTGTCAAACACCTGCTTTGATTATTGAAATATCATTCAGTGAAAGCCACAGTATGATTTATCTTTTATCTTTTTAGCCTGCACTTGAGATGTCAAGTCAACCATCACCAGTCATCAGACTCATAATGACACTGATAAACCCAGGTCATGATACGTCAGGCACTTAGAGCCAGGACTGACAGAACTTGCCGAAGTTGTTTTTGTTCATCGGCAAATCTATTTTAAGACTTTTGATGTGAATGATATTTATTTCTAGGCTGCTCTTTGCTGCAGTGATGACCCAGTTCCCTCTCAGGGATTAAGATAACTCATCTCATCTTCATCTGATGTAGCGCTCACGGGTTACAACATGATTACGATGAGCATTAGGAGATCATCTCTTGCCTTCTCGTACATCAAAAACAAAGGAGAAAAAAAAAGTAAGAATGGTTTTCTAGAACATCCCTTTTTTCTAATCACTTTAACTTAAATGAACTAACATGGTCTGCTTTTAAAGACATCATGCCCGTACAGTAACACAAGGACTGTCTACCACACACATGCTTTTTAAGAGAACACATTCCAAACAGAAATGTTCTGAGTCATGCAGGCTGCAGTTTTTGCATCACTTTCCCCGGTACATCACTCTCTTTTCATAAATACCAAACATATCTAACAGCTCAAGATCTTTATCTGTGATTTGTATGCCAATTCAGAAGCGCTGATTCACCAAAAATAAATGCATGACGCTGTACTTTGTTGATTACCTCCTGTGGTAGCTAGCATGGTCATTGTTTTCCATGCTTTCTTTTCATGGCCACTGTGTTACACAGCTATGCTCTGCACCAGCTTTTTTATTGTAGCTGCCAAGAAGTGATAACACATAAATGAATTCCTCATCCTCGAGATCAATAGAGTAATACCAGTGCTGTCGATGGCTGCCATGGTTACAGCCCAAGAAGAAAGTGGGAGGCTTTACACCCACCAAACTGAAAATGTCTGTGCTGATCCTCCATCAAAGCCTGCCTCCCAGGATATGTTGGCCTGCTTCACCCCCGGAGAGACGGACAGAGCGGTAGCTGCATGGGGACTCGTTCCTGTAGTGGAGGAAGAGGAGAGGAGTTGATGGAAATCGGCCAGCACTTCAACTACCTAAATCTGCAAAGTTTAGAGGCCATCTCAAGATGTACTACATTTATCTTTTGGAGGCGGATTGGAGGCACAGTGTTGGATGTAAAGGAGGTTGAAACATGTATGGAGAAGACAATGTGAAAAACATCTCTGAAAGGAATCCTTCTGTTTGCACTCACCGAGGACAAAAACCTGTGTAGTGGCTTTCACAGAGGCTACACGGTTAGCAGCACTGCACTCCCACCAACCCTGGTGATCCTTAGTGAGAGGCTGCAGAAGAAGAGAACCATTGGGTTCTATGGAGTAGGCAATCTGGCGAGCCAAGTCGACCTATGAAGAAGAAGGTCAAGACCAGTCAGTCAGAACAAAACACAGCTTTTTATTTAACAAGTATAGTTAATATATTGCTAGGATGGACTATGAAACCAAATGACAAACACAGCACATCTTTTTCTGAGCTAAATTTACTCGCACTCATAAATTATCCAAGAATAGCTAAAAAAAACAATGTCAAACGGATCAAACTTAAAAAAAGAAGCAACAAACGTAGGGAAATAGAATTGATTCATGCAATAAAATGTTTCAATTCCATTTAATATAATAAGAGTAAATCTGAAAATGTAGCACAGTGTAGATTCAGGTCAGTGTCCAGCTCTTGTATGCATTACAGTCTTTGGACAGTGATGTATTTTTGGCTTTTTTTTTTTGTTCTTTCTACTTCAGTTGATTGGATTTTTTAAATAAAATAATGGATGAGGGTTAAAGAGTACCTTACCTCTGAATTTGAGTTAATAAATTATACAGCACGCACAATCACTTTGTTATATTATTGATTCTGGCAGCTGATTCTGGTCCCAGGTCTGTGTCTGAATATGAATGCATTTTTTTTTAATTGAGGAAGTTGGCTTCTTAGTTTCAAATGTGTTGAAGTTACTCTTTAAAGGGCAGACTTCCTAATCAAATGCTCATTTAGTCTCTCTGAAGCTAAAGTAGAAATAAGTATCGCATAAGTAGCATTATTATTCTCATGAGGTAAAAAGTTCATCGACACATTGATGAGGGCTGATCTAGAAAGGGAAAAAATGTATTCGGAGCATCATTTTACATAATTAAAAGAACTAATTTAAAGTTATAGTTAAACAACACTTAGTCGTTTATTAAACTTCATGTTCTTATTACATAAGTGGATGTGGTAAAAAATGGCCAAGAGCTTCAATCAAATCCTCCAGTAGAGTGACATTTGACAGGCAATAGACTGTCCATCTGTTCACTTCCATGGTCAGGTTATGAGGAGGAGCATGAAGTGGAAATGAATAAATCAGACTTCAACCTTGCTTAATTGGAAATCACTAACTTTGCTTGGTTACATATATGTCATTGATTTCTCCGCTAGCAGACGGCAACCCTCTATTTAAAGGTCAAGTGCAGTTTAACATAATTTGTAAGGTTAGCTCATCATCTGGAGTCTGATTTGACTTGACACATTTCAATCCCCAAATGCGGGATGAGTCATTGCACATGTTTTTTTTTTCATACACAAAAATTCTCTGAAGAAAAAACAAATGTTTGAAAACAGTATTAGAAAATATTTTACCAATACATTCTGTCCCTCAGTGTTTCTTTAAGTAAGAACTTTAATACTAGAGCACACTATTAATTTTCTGATTCATTTCTAACACATAACCACTAAAATAGATAATATATTACTAAAGAGGCATGAGGAGAAAACATCAGAAAAGGTGTCATGTTCAAATAGAGCAGAGCCCCATTTGAACATGGACTCAACCCCTTAAATTGTTCCAGCATTGTCCTGGAGGGTTTCATGTATGCCAAACACATCGGAATGTGTTCAACTTGACTTTATGCAGACAGGAGAAATCATAGGAAAAGCTTTCTGGCAGACAAGGTGAGTGATTTTTGAATTTAGCAGGTGGTAATAACCTGGAACATTCACCTCAAGGAGGCAGGCGGGATGATAAAGTTCATGTTGAGCAGAGTGTCTCTGCTTCAAACTCTTTTCTACCCTCCTCAGTTGTTAGTGTATTGTTATCTACTGATGTCTTTGTGTGTCTTTATACATGTTATAGTGATATTACACTAAAAGCAGTCCTCCTCCTGCACTCTCTACCAAGGAAAACCCCTCACCCAAATGAATCAATGACACAAACAGGCTCCCACTGTGCGGGACAAGTATGAAAGGCAGTTCTGAAAAATGTCATGACCTAAATGTGCTGATATTGTCTAGAAAATGTCAAGTGTTCATGTGTGAGATGGGCTCAGGGCTGCACTGTGTTATGAGCATATTTCTGCTTGACTTTTCGCCTGTGCATGCTGAAAAGGTACAGTTTGTGTTTTGCATAGAAAACACTACAGGCCCAAGCTGAGGTATACAGAAACAAAGAAAAAGATGAAAGCTCATCATTAATGTATCATAAGGGCTCACTTCTATGATGAGCTTTGCAGGGTTATTTACCTTGCTCCAGGTCACTTTTATCGTCAGGTCATCGTTTCCCTGACAAGGGATGAGCAGAGTCCTCCCAGCTTCCTGCTGGTACTGCTTCTCCGGAGTGACGCTGAAAGATGGGGGGTCCTACAAATTGCCAAAGCAACATAACTGAATCAAGGAGATTGCAGCATTGCCAACAATGGATTTTAAGACTGGATTACTGCTGCTTTGGACAAGATTATCTTAATAACAAAAGGATTAGCCACACAATTAACTCCCTAACAGCGGAGCCATTGTAGTGCATCTGAGTTGACTTCCATTAACGCCAGAGGGCCACACATGGCTGTGAAAAGGTCATTAAAATGACGTTTATGTTAAGTTTTTAATTTGCTGTGACAGATGTCGTTTTGGGTAATTAAAACACATGCACAGTGGGAGGAAAGATAGTTAAACAGAACTAGGGCAGATTATGTGCCGGTTTCTTGGCTTCCAGGTCCTGATGGACCGGCACTTTGCACTTTATGGTGCAAATAATGTTCTCATTTGTATATTACGTTTTAGAATTACTTCCTTTTTCCCTCTAAAAGGAGCCCACACTGACCTGTAAAATGACAATTGTTGGCCCAGAGGATCCCATGCTGCCGTAGCTGTTGTATGGAGTACATGTGTACACGCCTGCTGAATCATCATTTACTGTTGCCATGAACAAAGAGCCCTCTGGTGTCAAGGTCCATCCTGGATACTGAGAAAAAAACACACAACTCTGATGGATATAAAAGAAAAACAAGTAGCATGTGCGGTCGTGAATGATACATGTCATTATTTGCTTAAAAAATATAAAGGTAAGAAGTGTGCAGAGAGCTTAGAGAGCTAAAAGGCAAAAATATCTGAAACTATTGCAAAGCCACACATGAGCTCCTCGGCTGGGTTTGAGGGATTTCAGAAATATTTTTTGGTATCTGCCTGCAACAGTCCTGCAGTGGTTAAGTACTGAAATCCCCACTGGGCAGATTATTTCCATACTTCTTGAGAATTGCTTATTATTTATTAATGTTGTCGCAGCTTTTGCATGATGATATCTAACCGTAAGAGGATTTATCTTTTTCCCTCTAATTTAAAAAAACACTATTTGGGAAATTCCCTTCATGATTTTGTTATGGGAGGGAGGGTTAAAGCCAAACACATTAAGAGAAAAAAGGTTTTCAAATTCCATAAAGCAGGTGCTTTTTCAAGTCTTTTTTTCTATTCATTAAGCCAAAGTGGAAGTCTTGTGCTGCGTTATGATTCATCAAAAGGTTTCCACTCAGTTTTAATGAAGTCAAAATTGCTATTATCCTCCCCCAAATGAGAGACAGTATCACAGTGGGTATAAGAGCTCGTCACATCCAGAGTAAATTTAAAATAATTGGCAGAATAACAGCCTGACTCCGACAACACTATACTCTCACACTACAGGAATGAATCACATTTCCTTCAGTGTCTCTCATCAGGCGACATGTCCATCACCAAAGTGTGGAGGGGGGGGAGGGGTGGACTCTGCTTGTGACGGGGTCAGGAGGAGGAAGGGCTGGATCTTTTGTGAGCTCTTAGTTTAAAAGAAAAAGAAAACGTAAAAGAGCAAGGGGCAGTCAGGAGATCCTTGGGGATTGCTCCAAAGCTTTTAAGATGGAACACATCATCCCTGTCCATTACGATGAATGTGATTGAATGACAGTGCAGTGGAAAAAGTGGTTGCAGGTTTCCATCAGTGGACAAAGCAGATGTCCTTTGTTAAAAGCCTGGAAAAATGATTCAATGTCCTGTCGAGTTTTCACATTATAATAGCATGGAAACCATTGCTCTGCTGTTCTGTAGGCAAGTGGACTGTGGGCTGATTGATAGGAAAGTGTTTTGCATGATGGCTGCCTGGAGACTGTCGCTTCATAGATGCTTGTAGTGAGCAGCGTGTGTGACACTTCTCTGCTGATAGAAAGTCAATGGATTCTGTCGCTGCTCCCCTGTGATGTGTGCTGCATCAGAAATCAATTAATAAAGTATTCACAAAGACAGACATATGAGGTCTGGTACACAGACTAGAGCAGGATTATGTCAACTGAATGATCTTGACCCTAATGATGTTTGTCTTACCAATGAGAGGTCAAGTGGCTCTCCATCTTTGGTCCAATCAACACGCAGCAGTGGAGGCTGAGCTGCTGCTGCACAGGTGACCACACCATCCATACCAGTGGGGAGGTAGGTCTTCTGGGGCATTTGAAGGGCCTGGGCGGGGTCTATGCAGAGGGAGGCAAATCAAGTTGTTTATTTTTGTATAATTAAGATGAAACTTACTGTTTCATTACCAGGGGATGCCACATGTACCAGTACATAGAACCCTTTCCATGATTTATCATTTATGATGCATTTTCTGGAGATAGTGTGAAGTTATAATCATTTTCCTGTGCCCATAACTCTCTACATAAAGTCTATGACTCAGACTTTATTTGGACAGCTCTTTGTATTTACAGCTCACTGAGTGTGTGAGATGGGTTTTACTCGTCTCTAAGCAGCAGCAATATGTTCAAGGAGAAGGTCATCTCTAACTTAGAATGATCCAATCCCTGGACATTTACAAGTGAAGCATCACAGAATATGAATTTCTAAAAAATCAAGAACCAATGATAATACCACCTCCAAAATAAATAAATATATATTTAAACCTGTGGCAAATAATAACATTGATTATGGTAATTGTAAATTAACAATGACTAAATCATCAAAAGTAACAGAGAAGCAGGCGTATATTTCCAGCTATGATAAATTGACACAGTGTTTTCTCATTTAAAATAAATTATGTCAATTCCTTGTATAGATATTTTCTAGTCTTCTGACTACTCAAAGCGCTTTCACACTGCAGGCCACTCCTACTCATTCACACTCTGATTGCAACCTAGGGTTAATTGTCTTGCTCAAGGACACAGCAGACATGTTGCTGCAGGAGCTGGGGATCCAACCCCTGCCCTTTCGGTTGAGAGACGACCGACTCTACCAACTGAGCCACAGCCGCCCAATGTATATGGTCAGGAAAATTAGGCAGCACAAACCACAAAGTTTGAAGTAAACAAATGTCTGGCAATGGCAAAACAATGTTTAAAATCTCCTGAAGTGGGCTTATTCAAAATGTTTGTTAAAAAAAAGAGAAACTAAAGTATTTTTGAGTTTAGCCCTGTTTTTGTTTTGTTTGTTTTACCTGAAAAGTTCTACTAATGCAGTTATTTAACAACATCAGAAAAGATACAGACTGCATTTAAAATGGCTGGCCACTCTTTATCTTCTCTAATTTTATATTCATAATGTTAAGGTTTATCAAAAAGCTCTAAATATTTTCACTCATCTTCTTTGAAGGAAGCATAGAAAAGTCTGGACTCCTTTTTGTAAAACTATATGGTAGTCTTTGTTTCTCTGTCTTTGATTTTCTTGAAATGACTCTCATGTCATGTCAGGTTAAAGAGCGTCTTCACATCGTCACTATGAATCTGGGCATTACTGACCTCTAGTGGCAGCAGTGATGTACCTCAAAGTGAGTCAGCACTCAATGACATCACTGATGGGTGTGGTTACAGGTAACACACACACACACACACACACACACACACACACACACACACACACACACACACACACACACACACACACACACACACACACACACACACACACACACACACACACACCAGTGAGGTCAGAGGAGGGACACTTACCTGTTGTTGGGTAACTTATCAAGTATTATTGAGTGTGTAACACCTTAAAGAAGCCTAATGTTGCTCAACATATCTTTAGTTTAGAAAGAACAAGTTTAATTTGTAAATCCCTAGCGACAACAAATGAACACTTTGATGCATGCAGATCACCACCCATGTGATTGGAAATATGTGTTTAGATGTGCAGACCAAACACACAGAAACTATACGGACTATACAGTGAAACCTACGCATCACTGTGAGGATGGCAGAGGCGGTGGGCGGGGTCAGCAGGCCGTTGGTGGGCATGCAGGTGTAGTTTCCAGAATCCACGGGGATGAGACCGGAGATGAGTAGAGTTCCATCGATCATGATCTTTACTCGTGACTTCAGAGACCTTGAGAATAAACACAAGAACATTCTTGAGAATAACAACGAGAGGCAACTGAGCTCTTGGATTTGAGTCGAGTCAAACACCCTCTCAGAGCTTCGACAGTGTAGGAGGGCTTTTTCTTTTTTTTTTCTAAGTTATTCACCACTGTGTGTGCAGATGGAGGTTAAGGAAATATGATTTCATTTCAGTTAAGAGGAGGAAGAGAGGAGCCCACTCGTTTATACACACTTACATTAACAGAAAAACTGAAGGCTGAGCAAAGCTTCTTACAAACAGGTTACATATTCAAGCTGCTCCACGTACTCAAGACACACAGTCATATATTTAGTCAAATGACCATAAAGGTGAGATGACTCATCATTTGTAACACTGAATATTCCTTCAAACTTTTCTTTTATTCTCTTTGCATTGAAACAGTGTGAGTGAATTCTTTGATTTTTCAGCTTACTTGCTTATTTTAATTTAATTGACACTAAACTGATTTAAGAGAAGTTACTATCAGAAACAAAAACTCGAAGAATCTGAAATGCTGTTGCCATGTAAATGTACACAAGCAAGGAATCTGACTCGTTGTTTAGCTTCAAGAATAATGAACATAAAAGTAGAGAAGCAATAGGCTACTAAACGGAAGCACTGCTACTGTCAAGGAATAAAATATATTAAATAAAAATAATGAAATCTACAAAAAACTACACACAGCGACTGATTAACTAAGAATGGATTTCAGCCGCTGGTAGATCCAAACAATCGTGCATCATTTGCCCCCTCTGTCTGCTCCACCTCTACGTCTAAATCACTGAGCATATAGCGCCTATGATATTCACACGTCCAAGAAGTTGTGCCGTTCCGTGCAGTTTGCTCTTGTTTTGAGTCTGAATGTGGGGAAAAGCCGTCTGCACCTCGGCTCTGTGCAGAAATGAGCTCTCATGCTGACAGGGCTCTCAAGCTGTCAGAGCTGTTTTGTCCACATAAAGATGATGAGCTAGGAGGGGGAGGGGGAAACTTTTTCAGGGTTTATTTCGATGCCAGACTTAAAAAATGTAACTCGAGTTTCACTGTTTAGAACAAAGCTTCTTCTCAGAAAAGAGCAAGGAAGAGCAACTCGGAAAAAACTTGCATCCTCAACTTATGTGGATGAAGTGTCCAGTCGCTGACAGGCCCAGACTGATTGAACCCCTGGTAATAATAGTGATAATAGTAATGTTGACTTAAACACATCATTTAGGTCGTACAGAAGTGGGATTGTTTTCCTGATCACTGAATAGTTTGCATGTGACATCTCTTGTAAAAACTGTGCCACAGTAAGCACCAGCTGACTGCATTTTTCCCTCCTTTTGCTTTTGAATGAGTGAGTGGAAAGAGACAGTAAGAGAGTTGTACCTATTTAACATACAGTCTCAATGGTGTTAAGAAGCACCAAGCCTGTGGCAATTAGCGCTGGTCTTTGGGAATTAGATAGTATCTGCAACGAGGACCATTTGCATGGGAAGGGGGCAATTTTGCACCTAATTTTAGAATATTCCCTTACTTACATACAAGCAAATGAGACACCCAGGACACTGTCTGCTTGGCTGTGCAGATTGTGTGCATTTCACCTTTGTGCTTTCTTAGTCGTTGACACGCTACCCTTTCTCTCATTCGCTCAGGTTTAGAGGGCGCAAAACAGCACAATCCTTTTGTGACTCATGCCCATGGAGTGCAGTGTAAACAGTAAATTCTCAGTTATCATGACTCTCCACAGCTCTGTAGAGCTATTCAGGCATTTAGTTGAATACCTGATGAACCAACCTTACAGTAAATGCCCCAGAGAACAATAGAAGACTATTAAAAAAAAAACAGAAGCTTAAGAATTCCTAACCTCTCAAAAACCTGTGGAGATAAAACCATGTCAAAGAACAGCTAAGATCACAGATGAATCAAACATACAGAAACTCAACCTCTATAAGTTTTTGGATGTGCATGCTGTTTGATATTTCTGTAAAAATAATCTACACCCTTCAACTTTCTCTCTTGTCCTATGATCATTTGCTTTATTATCAAATGTTCTCTGTTCCAGGTACATTTCTTGAAAATACCACCATGTAATTATAGATATCTTTTGAGCAAATGAGGAAAACCTTAACTAAAAGTCATTTTAACATTTTTAAAGAGCACCTCGCTATTTTTAACAAAGCAATTACAAAAGAGCTTATTCCACTGAATGAGGAGCGGATCATCAGGATAATCCTCATGTGGTCTACTCAGCTGTTAACAGCATTACACATCACCTCCAAAAAGCCTCTCTGAAACTTTTTTTCCCCTCATCAAAATCAGGTTGAGTATGTAACTCTAATGACCAATGATATGTGTGACAAAGTGATGCTCAGGAGAAGTAATGCTAATGAAGCCCTCCACCTGCTCAACTGACCCTATCCCTGCCACAGCTTTTGAAGAGTGTTCAATAGTCTGATGGATGAAATGCTAGAAATCATGAACCATTCCCTGCTCGCTCTGATCTCCTCCCTGCCACTGAACACTGCTATTGTTAAATCTCTCCAACAGAAAAGCTCTCTCTCTCTGTGCTTCACAGTTGCAGACCTATTTCCCTTTTCTTTTCTATGAACTGTGAAGTCCTTTCTTTCTCTCCTTAATTTATGGATGGATTTTTTTGCATCGTCGTCATTGTAAAATGATTCTCCCTAATCTGTTGCCTCACACAATCGAGTAGACACAGAAAACATTAATATTCAGTCAGAGAAGTGTCTGTCTACCTGATGAATGTGACTGCAATACACCTTCTTCTTCTACCAAATCTCTAATTTTTGTCTCCCCTTTTATCCCGAGAAATAATATCCAGGCTCCCCCCGTCAAAAATGTTCTTCAGCGGCTAGTTGTTGTCTTCAATGCTGTTTTGTTTTAGAGCTGATAGAGCAGAACAGGAAAGAGCTGCATGACAGAACTGACACTGAGTTAATGTGCCTTAAAACTAAAACAATGTTCTAAAAATGGCTACAAAGCTCTACAGAAGATCACAGGTAGATGATTATCCTCTGTGGGCTTAGGTAACACTTTTGATTGAATTATTTAAAGCAGTAACGTACCATTTAAAAAGGTACCATGTGGAGTTAGGAAGTAGGCAGGAAGGGATTGTATAAGGAGTTGGTCCCAGTAATCAGACTTAGGCACTCCCAAAATATCACTATAGCACAGCATGAATAAATGTCTCACACAGAAAAAATCATGTGAACTCCTGTGATGTTAGATGAGTAAGGAAACCTGACCTAGTGTCCATGACATCATGTATGACGACGCTACATCAATACATTACACTCACTGCTTTCATGCTACTCCACTGTTCACCCATTCTAAGCAATATCCCCCAAAGAAATGTAGGGGCACTCCAACAAACACACCACAAAGGACTGCAAGCAAACTCTTTCAAATGTAAAAAGAGGGCATTTTAAAATGGTGTTTCAAGGAGAATTTAATTTAAGCGTGTTCCATAGATCTAGGGGAAGTGGCGAGATGCACTTTATTTTATTTATTTGACCAAGTATTCACCTGTAATCAAACATTATACACTGATTGAACCTAAGTCGCAACCCTGCAAAAAAAACCCTGCAGTTCCTTGGGTGTCCACTTGAGGCTGAAAAGGCCAAGGAATTCTCATTAGGTCCCATATTAATTTTTTACAGCAGTGATTAACATGTATACCGCCTCATACAAAAACAGCCAACAGCTCAATTCTCTAGTGTTTAAAAACTGTACAGGGGCAAGTTTTATTTTTATTGCTCATCTGTTTTGATTACATTAAAATAAGAGCTTTGCATAAATTAGCATGAGTCAGGTCATGGTTGAGTTGAGTCAGTCGGGCGCCATGTTGCTGTTTGCCTGGAAACTTAAGTCCCACATCAGCTTCATCTCTTTGCCTGTTTCTAGACTGAATGAAAGCGAGTTGAAAATAACATTTCCAAAAGACAACTTCTATCTTTGCGCTCCATAACCTCTCTTCAGAAACCAATTGGTGACATCACTGAGATACAGCTAAAGTCAGAGGCTGCTTCCTTTAGGACAGCTCATTTGAAGACCAGTTGCCTCAAAGCGCTGTGTCCAAAAGCTGCCCCATTTTGAAAGCTTTGTCAAAAGCATCCGACAAATACGACAAAGGCAGTCCTACTCTTCCCAGGCTATAAAGGATGCATCCAATGCAACCTTGGTGCCCCAACGTATCCCAAGATTCATAGCATGAGTTATGCAATAAGTCAATGGTTTCAACTCAAACGAATAGCTAGATACAAATGTTAGAAACCAAAGGGGCCCTGAATCTTCAAATGATCTGTGTGGGCTGGGCGGCAGGGGCTGTGGTTTTGTTTAAATTGTTATGCTGTCGCTGGCTGCCATCTCTGATCTTCCCCATTCATATTTAACAAGTGAAACTGTTACCCTTGACATGTTATGTGGTACATGTGTGATGGAACTAAGGTGGGGCTGAATTGTTGGCATCCCTTGGTGAAAAAAATAATCAAGAATTAACCTATATCAGATTAGGCCATGGTCATGCCAAGCTAAACGGTAATTAGTCAGGACTCTGCCAAGGGAAGCCAGTTGTCTTATGGCTTCACACCAATCAAATCATAGCATGGTATCAACATGGCTGGAATGAACTGTTAGCCCTCAGGCCGTTGTTATTAGCAGGTGCATATTGAGACAGCTATAGACATTTTGGATTTATAGTAAAATAATAACTTCACTATATTAACACTACAGTAGCCAGTCAACATTAAATTTGACGACAGGCTAACTAAAAAACTACCGCAAAGAACAGCAAGAAAGAAAAGGAAACAGACTGACTTTTAATGATGGAAATCACTAGAATACTAAACTGCTGCTGAAGTTCAGCCACTCCGTAAGACTAATAATGATGTGATTTCACCACCATGAACGAAAATTCCTCTTCAAATAATGTGAGTGATAAACACATCCCCCTCTCTTTTCTCTGCAGCTTAATTGTTGACGTAACTGCTCATTTGGCTGAGTGCATTTGTTTGGCCTCACTTATGTCACTTAATTTGTATGACTTGTCTGGATTTTCTTGCTGGTGTTAATTGGCTCACTGAAATAGTTATTTTGTTGAGGATGTTTGTGAGCAGAAATTAACAACCATGGACTGATCACGGATGACGTTAACATTACTTCAGTTTCAGGTTAAGTTACCTGAAAACATGATGTTGTGATTTTTATAGCCTCTGAAATGTGGTAGGTTACAGCCTCAGTTTTAAGATTATGTTGTAAGAATGGATATTCTGCCTGGTGACACTTCTTTGCATGTAGGGTGCTTACAACGCAGTTTGTGTGTTCGATTGCTTACAAAAAACCTGCTAAAGCAGCAAAATACCCCTTCTATGACCTAGAAGATCTAGAGGAATAAAGCCCCATTTTATAACACTGAAAAGATGTATTACTGAAAATCTATTTATTCTGGTTTTGAGTTCTGTTAAATGGATCTTGGCTAAAACTGGCCTTTAAAAAGCTTTTTTTTTATCCATGCACATGACTTTTTCTGTTTATTATGAAGTCTAAAATCTCATTTCATTCCAGCCTGTGTGTACTGGTCTCTTGATTATCAGCACCTGTTCTCATTACACACCTGCCCCTGATTATGTCATTAGTCAAACCACTTCATAAACTCCTTTGTTTCCCTTCTGACAGATTTTTGTTTATTCATGCTCACAACATATTCTTCTGTCTCCATTCTAGTCTTGTTTTTATAAGATTTTTTAAACGCTTAACTGTTTTCTTAATGTTGGAATTTGCCTGTCCTCTCACTGAATTTGTTTCAAGAGGCTTTTTTTTAAACTGGACCTTGTGTAGTTTTTCCATCTATATCTTTGAATCTGTAATCCCATCAACACCTGCCAAATTCTCAAAAACACCATCGTCCAAATGAAAACGTAAAACACACTTTTATGGCTGTCATGAGCATGCCAAGTCAAAAACCATGTCCTTGATATGTGAAAATGACCATTTCATTTACAAAGTTGTCAACTCGTGCGCCTCTGCTCGTAAACATAATGGGAGAGAGAATGTGTATGCATGTGTTGAGCATGTAAACAGTCCAGTTAGCAACCCTAACACCAGCACTAGATTGGTTGAGTCCACTATCGCACTAATCTCATGTAAACAAAAGTAACCGCGCTGCACAATGATGTCAAACGGAGGAGAAACTGGCAGGCAGCGTGATGCTACATCTCAAAAACCCCTTTCTACACATAAACACCTTTAAATGGAGTTTCTCAAAATCTTCACCTTGAAAAGAGTTTTCAAAAAGGCAGTTTGCTTGTGAACAAAACCTACAGTATGTTTTCAAAATACCTGCCTACGTGTGGACTAGGTCTTGGATTAGTCCAGAACCATATTTTGATTATAAACCTCTTTGCCACCGTTCATTTAAATGGCTTGATGAATACTTTGGCATCCACTGCAGGTATCAGCCTAGACAATCTCACTGTTTCCAAAATGAGAAAAAACATCTTGTGCTAGTGTTTTCCTTCTTTAAGTCTTTATGAAAGAGAACTTTGACTGTATCAAATTTCTACTGAAATGGTAAAGAACCAAAAACTAGATCAAAGGCGGGACATAACATTAGAATGAACCTGATTGGATCGTTTGCTTCGACAAAGTCTATTAATTAGTATAAAAATGAGTTACCACTGGGTGAGATTATGAGTGTGCTGTAGAGAAATACTGACATGTAAGATAAATCCTTTTTGATTTATTTCACTGTAAAATGTACGAGAGCCGTCAATGCCAAGCCTGTGAAGAAAACTGTGATTGCACCTTTCTTTAGAATATCACTAAACCTTTGTCAGCTTCAGATTAAATCTCAACACTCGGTGCAAAGGCACAAGAGTATGTGTCAGGCAGGGTTTTTAAGAAATGTCGCTGCTGAATTTTCCTTGTTCCCCCAGGACTGACTGTCATGTCCTGCAGCTACTTTAGCCAGAAAGGAGGCAGATTTTAGTTTCTGTTGATAAGAAGCAGGTTTCCACTGCAGAGGAACATTTAGTAACAATAATCTTACCTGTTACTAGATTAGATATGTATGATATATTATAAAGTCACTTATATGACGTACATTTTATTGAATAATTTATGTAGGAAAGCTGTTTAGTTGCAGGACAATCCATTGTTTAGCAGTTCAAATAACCTGAGATGGCGATTCACGCGTATGTGTATATACCATAGACTGTAAATATTAATGGATGAAGTCTGAGTGACGTCACCCATCTGTTAAAGCAGGGGGCGCTGGAGGCTCATCGGCAGCAGCCGCCATGCTGGAAATGCTGTCTCAACCAAACTTTCAGTTAACTTAACGACAGGCTGAAAGCTGGAGCTGAGGAGGGTTTGAAGCATCCTGACAAACCGCTACACCACGCTCACCTGTCAGTCATGTCAGCTAGGCACCCATGGATAACACGTATTGTTCATAAACGTCTGTAAGTCAGACACATGAGTGTACTGTAAGTCAGACAGGCTTTTGAGATATTGTGGCTGGATTTGTCTTGTGCCCTGGGGCTCGACTGTGTACTGCAGCTCCTTGGGCCAGAACTAAGACCCTGTGGGAGTCAGACTTCTTGTTTCTGTGGATAAAGAAGCAGAAGTCTGCAACTGTGGACACAGTATATTTTTAAGTGTTGATTTATGTAACTTTAACATTTTAGGAGGAAGTGGTTTTCTATATCAAAGAGAGAAATCTCTATGTGAAAATGTAATGTATGGAAACGATTAGTGATCAGAATTCAAATGATAAACTAATTTGAAAATGAAAATCCATTAACAGAAATGCTTTTGAGTGTCAAAATATGAGTGTATTATTTGACTAATTTATCTAATTTGAATTTTAGTTTTCAACTTCAAAAATGCACATTCTTTGACTAAATTAAAATGAAGAAAATTACATTTTCATTTTCAAAAAATGCCCCGCTAAATCTGTATCATAATTCAAATGAAAAAGCTAATTTTAAAATGAAAATACAGTAAAAGAAACACGTTTTAATTTTCAGAATATAGGTGCATTATTTGACCTATATTTAAAATAAATATTCAGTCATCCAGTTTGCATTATACTTTTAGACTCAAACTTGTACTTTACAGTGCAGATAAGAACGAAATTTCGTTGCAATTGGCCCGTTGTAGTGCAGGATAAAAACAGCAGCATGTATTTACATATAAAAAATAAAAATAAGGTGCAGATATAAAAAGAAAAACTATGAGTAAAAATACTATACAGATAAATATATTGCACGTTATATTGTGTTTTACAGTCCAGTGAGGTAGTCCTGTGTGGGGATGCATATTGTATGACATCATTCAAATGAAAACTAAAAGGTCTTTGGCTTTTCGTTTTCAAACTTGCCGTGCTAAAAAGTGATCATAATTCAAACCAACTCGAAAATGAAATGGCTAAGTGGACGGCGCAGGAAAGTGACGTCCATAGTAATGCATCTTTTGTTGTCATTTCTTTGTCATTATTTTCATTCTAACACATGTTGAATTACAAAACAAAAAACTCATCCCTTGCTCAAACCCACTGCATACAACATCAGAGGTTTTAAATCAAATGCTTGGGGACAAAGATAACAGGTGCACTTACTCTATGTGGTAGACGTTTTCTCCACCTTTCTGCCATACGTAAGTCATATTGGGGGGATCAGCCACCGCCTGGCAACGCAGAAGTGCATTTTGGGACATATTGACAGAGGTGCTTTTGGGAGGGACGATGATGACAGGTGGACCTGTTGAAAGGAAGGTTACAAAAGACATCACTTAATTTCACAAGAAAGGGCTGCAATTATGTATATTTGCAGGATTACAGAAAATGGCTAACACATGTCCATCAGAACTCCATCATGTCTGAGGTCAGAGTATAAAGTTTAAACAGATGCAAAAATACTGAAGAACACTGCACATCCTTTTACCTGCAAATGGCTGTCATTCAGTCAGAAGGCTTTTGCCAAAAGTACACAATCATCTAAGAGTTTGCCTCACTGCTTTCAAAAGATGATGTCCCCTACACTTTGCTGTACTGGACATTATGAACATGCATCTGAAGTTCTTGTAGTGCTAAATGATCATCATCACCCTGATAATATGGGGTGCTATTTGTGCTTTCTGTAGTTAAGTCTTGTTGCAAAGAAGGCAGAGAGAAGAGACCTGAGCCTAAACAGCCTGTAGTTCTTCTAGGGCACAAAGTTGGATAAAACATGGCGCTGGTGCTAAAAGAACAACAACTGCACGTGGTTGTCATACGGTGTAGATGGAGAGAAAACTGAAAAATTATTCCCTGTACTTAACTGAATACAGCAAAATATGTGTGTGCTCTTTTTTCATAAAGCAACATTTCTCAAAAGGACTCTGAAACAGTAACACTGAACAAAGTCGTATATCTTCTGCACCGAACGGATTAAACATAAGTTATACAAACAACACTTTCAACAATCTGCTCAAAGGTTTCACAGCTTCAGTGCTCACTTTGCTTTCCCCTATCACAGTGAGAATCTAACAAGCTGTTAGCCTTAAGAACAGCAGGAGGAAGTGTGAAGAATCTATGGAAAATACGGCTTAGATTATAAACGCAAAGTTACTGAAAGAAGTGTTTTTCTAAAATCATGCCAACCATGAGCCTATATTTAAAGGAAGAATGTGCTGTATTTTACACAGTTTATCTTTTGTAGATGTTTTTCTGAGTCATGACCGTCTACAATGAGTGACAAGACAGAGTACTGCCATCAGTACTGTTGTCGGGCCGTGTTTACATGGACGGGACGGCCTTGTTATAAAACTGTTTTAGTCAAAGACTAGAGAAAAGAAGAACAACATACTCTCTTCTTATTTGGATGTCACATAAATGTATTTAGATCGCCGTCATTCTGTGTCAATTTATGTTCAATATGAAGCCACGAGTTAAATGTGCTGACATTAGCCTGCTAACACAACAATGCAGGCCACAGGTGATTGCAGCTCGAGCAGATGACAATTTTGTCCGTCACTTACACTGAATGGTGCTTAATTATGGCTCGTTCTATTTCTTAACTCCTTTGTGCAAATGCGCGTAGAGAGGGGGAGGGGTTGGAGGTGTGTCGCTGGAGGAGAACGGAGGTGTGGCCAAACAGCAGTTTGTTTAGTGTTTAAAGAGCCCATATTATTCAAAAATAATGAGACTATCAAAAAGTCTCACATTCTTCCTTTAAGTTCAACAAAGTAAACCTAACCTTCCTTTGAAACGACATCAGCTATTACTTTAGGAATTTTAAACTGCTAAACAGTAAAGAGGATGTACAGTATAACATACTACTCAACAATAAAATAAACCTAAAGTGTGCATCTAAGAGAGATTGTCATGTATGGTCCAGCTGTGGTTTAGATCTGCCTTAATGGTTTACTTGCTATTAAAACGGCTAGACAAATATGTAACTTCATACCGTGGGAATTTTAAGTTTCCGCTTCACAAAATATTCCCCAAACAGACGAGAGTTCAGGATGAAAGTGAAAGGAAGAGGTAAAAAGTTTAATATAAAACAAAGTATAAGCTGTACTGGATGGAGCCAGGTGCATTAGAGTGGCTTATAGAGGTAATATGTCGTTGAAAATCAATAAAGATATGAGAGGAATTTACACTCAAAAACTTTTGAACTGAGGTACTATGAAAAAAAAGATGAATAGTCAAACTTGAAGCAGATCAAGTGTCCAATATGTAAACTACAAACCTTTCTAATGACAATGCTATCCTACCAAACTGTGTTGTCAAGTACAGCAGGGTTCATTTCCTTGGAAACGAATCCCACGCAGCTCCAGCGCGGTAATACAATGTCATATTTATGTCTTTGTGCGCCGCCCTCCAACACGTGTGCTATTTGCAAAGAGCTAATAATGCAGGCTTCATGTGACACATGTTTCATGTATAAATAAGCACATGATCTCTACAGCAGTCCTTCGTGATCACTCTATAACCTTTAATGCTTCAGGGATATATGCATGGGTGACAGTTTAGAGGTTATTTAAGTCTTTTGCACTGACTCTGTCCAGATCAGCCATTAGTCTACCCTAATCCATCCATGTGGCAACGCTGCAGGGAAACCCAGCCAAAGCTTAGATAATGTGACTTCCACTAAACAGCATTTGGCTGATGAGGATGTTTATTCAAAATGTGACCGCTGCAAATGCAAGGTTTCAAAAAATCAAGTGAAACCTCAAGGAGACATCACGCCGTGTTCCCCCATGTATTTCCCCATGCGCCATGTTCAAGACGAGTCCTGATTCTCTGGAAAAACTCAGCAGTAGGAATTGGAGTAGGAGTCCAGGACAAAAAATAAATAAATCTGAAATCAATTCCGTGATGTATTATGCAGAGATGTATTGGTTTAATCCAGTGATGTAAAGTAGCACATTTACATATAAAAAATACATTAGTTCTTATACTGGACTTGAAAAACTGTGACCTGAAAACGCATTAGTCTGTTGAGGATGAATTAGGACCTTGAAAAAATTAAAAATTAAATCAGACCACATACCTCCAGAGAAATTGTCTTGACAAATTTAAATTTTTTCACTGAGAAAGGAACATTCTCATAAATACATATGGTAATTGGTGCATATTTGGAGACCAAATAGAGAAATGAACCTCGTCTCAGTCAGCCACAGCAGCCTTTAGATTTCAGAAAACTGTCATGTTTCTGATATGCAGCCTTTAAATTGAGCTAAACACCAGGTTTTATCACAATAAAGCAATGCCCCAAACCATGGATGAAATCCTGTCACATATAATGACATCAACATTACCTTCACAGGGACAAAATAGGAGTTAAATTCAGTTCGAGATTCTGTTGCCACTCTGTCATATGATGCAAGAGAGGGAAACGGATATAGAAACTGTGGTGGCTCCCAGCCAGTCAGGCTAACACACATCACAGAGAGTGAAGAAACTGGCAGGCAGACAGACAGGCACACAGACAGACAGAAAGGCAAACAGACAGTGGAGACCAAAAAACAGGCAGACAGGCTGCCAGGCAACAACTAACCTTTGATCTTCACTCTGGTCACGCGGGTCACATTTCCCTCTGAGTTAGAGGCGTGGCAGGTGTACTGTCCTGCTGACTGCATGCTCAGTGCACGCAGAGATAAGGCTCCACCATCCTGGTGATGTGATGTGACGGATAAAATGAGAGATTGATGGTTGCAATGGTACATATACATATACATAGAACAGACGGACAGTGTATGTGTATGTGTTGATAAGATGGTAGATGGATAAAACCATGTGAAAATGGTAAATGAACTGTGCTTATGAAGTTCTTCTCTCACTTCTGATAACTCAAAACGCTTTCACTCTCCGTCCAGAGTATGCTCTGTAAAGTGCAGATCAGTTCTAACTTGTCCCAGTCACACATACACAATGCCTACACCATCACGACCAATTTGGAGTTCAGTGTCTTGCTCGAGGATGTTTCTACATGTTGGGATTTAAACCCCGGAAAACCAACTGAGGACGAAATCTTCCACTAAGCCACAGCCTTACTATATCAATTGACTTAGAAACTAGTTGGTACATAAAGATTTTTAAGTACTTTGCCTCTGTTTGAGTTTTGAGTACTTTATCTTTTACACTGAAGTAAAGGGTTGATTGTTTTCTGAGATAATGAAGATGAGGGCTTAGTGATGCTGTTAACATTCTTCAAATCCCGACCAGTTGACCCTATGTTTGCATTAACGCAGCAAGGCTCAAGCTGATGTAACAGTAGACCGCATGATTGGCTACTTTAAATTGGTTAAATGCTGACAAAAGTTAATTTTGTTTTTATTTGTTCTTTTGGTTTAAAGGCTTTATATGTGATTTTTCACTTTATTTTAATTTAATACACAGAACATCTGCATGCCTGGAGATTTTAATGATTAATTAAGTCTCTCTGTTGTGTGTTGTGCAGAGATGAACACAGAGACTCGCTTTATTTGGAGAGGCACTGATCATTTCTCATGATGTGGAAATGTACCTAAGCAGCATGTCTTTGCTTGATACCATGAGCTTAAGATCGTTAAACAGGGCTCCTGAATGTTAAAATTCCTCTACCTTAAAGGATTAATATGGGATTTTTCACACTTAAATATAATAGAAATCAAGTATATCCTCTGAAAATAACTGTGAGTCATGACTGTCTACAATGGGTGTAACACCCGAGTCCCACTGTCTGTGATGTTTTCAGAGTCCTATCTTCATTTTGTTTACATCGCAAGACGGCCGGCTGACTCCTCCCCTTTCCCCCCCCTGTTTCTTAGAGTTGGAATTAAGGCGGGCCTTAATCCTCCCAACCTGTCAGTCAAATCAGCCATGCCATGAATGAAGCAACTGTATGCATTACTCCTGGCCTCAATGCAATCAAAAGGTTGAGTGAGCCCTTACCAGCCAGTCACCATGTTTAATTCTGCTGTTCAAATGGGCATTTTAGTGTGGCTGTTAAAGGCGCTTCATGGGCTTTTAGAGCCAGCCACAAGAGGACACCTGAGGAACTGCACCTTTTAAGTATGGCTTCATATTTCAACACCGGAGGTTGCCACTTGTTATAAACCCATAAATCCTGATTTGGTATAATTTTTTTTTTTTTTAAACGACAGCACAGGCATTGAAAGGTTTCATCACATACAGTCCAGTAATTCAATTCAAAGGCTTCAAACTTTTTAAAGAGTTCAGGTCAGGTCTAAACTTTGCCCCAGGCTACAGTGAAATCATTCACTAATACTTCATAAATAAAAAAACAAATGTCAATATAAGCCCCAGAGTCAGTTTTTCTGCTGAAAAGTATCATACCTTTTGATATGCGAGTACACTTTCTTTCTGACTTTTCTATTAGATGATCATTGCCGGTCTCTTAATTGTAATGAAGTGTTTTTATTGTGTTATCAGTTGGCAGGTGTACCACTTCAGCACAGCGATGACTAGATGCTGTACAGAGACTGACAGATTGATACTATTGTACAGTGAAACTTCTCATGGGATTCTGATACAGTATATTGATAGATATGGATGAAACAGGCCTAGTTATCTGAGTGAATATTAATGCATCAAACACCGTGTAAACATACCTGATCATTGATTCTTTGAATCACATTGCCATCTTTCATCCAGGTTATATTTGGTGTGGGGTTTCCTTTAGCTGCACAGGCAAGAGAGAGGTGATTTCCAACCAGAGCCTCCACCACAGGAGGCGGGGCTTCAGTGAAAGTGGGTGGAGCTATGGCACAAAAATGAGGGGAACATTTAACTTGACATCATCATAATATGAGGAAACAAACAATTGTTAAAAAAACCACACAACGCTTCTATTAAATACATGTTTAACAGATTAGTTGTTTCTTAGACACACTCAAAACATCAATCACAGGCTGTTCGAGGCAGTAGCAGTACAGGAAAAAAAACTACAAAGAGAAGAGCTGGACTAGCAGACAATAAATCTTTTGTCTCTCTCATCTCTTTTTTTATCTATCATACACAGCATGACAGCAGCTCGGCCTTGTTTGTTAAACAGCAGCAGCCTGTGTGCAGTTTACTGACATCCAGTTACATTATTATTTCAGGCACCAAAGTGAAACTGTTGCTGATGCTTCCCTTTAGATGTGCCTACACGTTTCCCTGCCACATTAGGGCTCAGATCTCATCAGAGTCCGACAGTTTCTCTTTTATCATCTGCGCACACACCCTAATATCAACAAAACCACCTGACACTTCAACATTTCACCACTTTTTCTTTGGGCTCATATCTGTATTATGACTTGAACACTGCTTTGGTATTTTTTCTTTTACAAGATTAAGAAAGCTTCTATTTCTATCAGAGTCATGGGGTGAGATGTCTAAGTATCCCTTAAATCAAGCTCAAATCCTCTGAAAATATGCTCTATAATTATCTCCTGCCAAAGTCCCCTTTGCCTAATAATAGATGTTGTAACATGCAGAAAGTAACTTCTGACACCAGTGGTCTTTGAATGTTCCTTTGTTACATTTTTAAGCCTGTAAAGGCCAATGACAATCTCAAAAGTTGAGTCAGAATGAAAACAATAGGATTTAAAGCCTGCAGCTGCAGGGCATGTCAGTGAAGTAACATCTAAGGCCTTTAGCACACAGACATAATCTATTATAATTCCCATCTCTAACCTGACGCTCGCACAGACCAACTCTGTGGTGAAACTGTCTCCGCTCGCCTTTGATCTGAGATTCTTTATGTTTGTGCGCAGTCATAGCAAAGGTTTTCCCCACATACACATGCACTTCAAAGCAACCAGAAAATAATGATGCATATTTCATATTTAGACGTATCAATAATAATGATGCTAGCTTAAGTAAAAGGGGATTCTTACCGAAAATCTGTGTCAAGAAAGTCAAAAGTTATTTAAATTACCTGACAACGTTTTTTTTTTAAAGAAAGGAGTCTTTAAAAAAATAAGTTTGTGAACAAGTTTTCTTTTCAAACAGTTTTTTGAAAGTTTAAGTTTAAAGGGGCTTTAAACTTCAACAGCCTGTCAAGAAATAATAAGCACTGTGTTATAGAATCACTAAATACATGATGTGTAGAAGATTTGGTTAGATTTTGTTTGCTTGTTAGACGGTCAGTGACTCGACTGATTATTCTTTGTTCAGCTTGCCAATCGAGTCCTTCTTTTGGAAAATTCCAGATTGTATCCAGATCAAAAGTTGACAACTGTGGAGCACAAACACATAAATAATCTCATTTGTTTTTCAAATTGGATCCAATCCACTGGTAGAGGTGTTTTACACATGATACCTATGACATTCCTCTGGATGCATATCAGTAAAGTCGCTCTGATTGTTCATATAGTATGTTTTAAAGAGTTTTACAGCTCTGGCTTTGAAAAAACAACCTGAATTTTAAATCCAGAATGACTGAGGTGCATTAGGCTTTCTGTTCTGGAAGGATCTTCTCCTTGGATGTCTCCGTGTGGTGACCAGATCTGATTTGAGAAGCAAATCTCAAATCCCCTGCGGTCTAAAATAAGCCTTGGACTAAACCGCTCGATAATACTATAAAACTGAAAAATAGAATATGCACATATATTTGCAATATTGAGCCAAGTTACGGACAGATGCAGGCATGATATTGCTTTAGAGAAGGTGACAAACTGAAACAGATCAACAGAACAAATCTCCTCCTCAGAAAGCTGGACTTATAAAGTGAGGGAAAAAAAGACCTCCTGCCATTTTGCTGAAACCTTCTTTGCAAGTAAGGGCAAAACTATAAGGAACTGAGTTAACAATTTGTTAAGCATCGTGATAATTCAGACTTTTACAGGTCATCTCTTGTCACCAAAGTGCAAATCTGCTCAGAATAAATGACAAACACTAAGAATGTAAAGAACACAACGTCGTATATGCATTATTTTAAATTGTAATTTTTTGGCTCAAAAAAGGTTGAAATGACATGATTGAGAAAAGTACGCTGTGAATCTGTGCTAATATAAGCTAACTAGGTTAACTCTGTTCCAAGAGATAAGTGGAAGCTTTCTGTTGAAATATGAACATTAATCCTCCCAAATGTTAAATGTTGAAAGGGAACAGATGTCTTCAATCACTTTGTGGGCTGCAGCTCAGCGGCTGACAGTGAGTCTCCAAGCAACAGCGGCCCTCAGACGTCAGTCAACACCACCTTGGGAAACACCCACCCAGAGGCACGAGGCTGAGACATCTCTCCATAAATATGTGTCAAAGAGGTTTCAGCCTTTTTGGACACATTGATTAAGCAGTATCGTTTCAGATTATGTTTCTTTAGTCAAGCAGAGTGGGCAGGTTTTGAAAAATTTCAGTATAGCTGACTGTAATATGAAAAATTGCATCATTTAAAAAACAGTATTTATGTGTGTGTGTGTGTGTGTGTGTGTGTGTGTACTTGCAGTGCACAAGACAAACAACAAATGGTGCACATGCATTAACGAACTGATTCTTCAGTTTTTGGAGCGAACACAGCGCTCTGTAAGTTTAGCTAAGTTTACAGCAACAGACTACAGTAGTCTGTAATGTTACCAACATGAAGCTGCTGATTGTTGTCACACTGATTGTTATTAAACCCCACCAGCTGATACCTGCATGATGCAGACGGGGTGAGAGTGAACGGGCAAAAGATGAATCAGTGTTGGAAATAGTACCGCTTTACGACCCGTTTCTGTGTGAAAGTCCATGAATAGATACATTTGTATAGCTGGTCTACATGACTCATGGGGTCATAGGTCCACCAAACAGTGGGGTGGGGGGGGGTGGGGGTGATTTGGATGGTACACAGATCAAGTGTGATCCATCTCACCACGATAGAGTAGACATTTCCCTCCATCTGTCCTGACTGGTTTATCATGTTTGTCACATTTTAGTCTGAAGCTAAAAGTAATAAGGTTTAACACCCGGTTCTAAACACATGATGTATGTGATGCATCAATGTGAGCATGTTTGTTGTTGAATTTTCACCTAACGCGATGTTAAAGTTTTCTATTTTGTTTGAACTTCTTGTCTCTTTGATTGGCACACCCAGATGGAGCTTTCCCCACTATCACCAGACCGAAGGTTGTTTATTGTCCAAACACTTCTTTGTTTACATTTGGAGCACAGATTTTGCCTTATGAAGCTCAACATAATCTACTTTCAGATTTAAGCTTTACAGGCAGGAAGCCAAAACACTCACACTCACACTCACACACTCACTCGTCTGTAAATCTCACCGGTTACAGAAAGCATAGTCCAGGTGCCGTTCTGCAGCTCATCTGTGGGTTCATCCAGTAAGAGGATTCGACACTCGTACAGGCCCTGGTCGTCCAGCTGCAGGCCCTCCAGCCTCAGGGTTGTGATTCTCCGGAGAGACACGCGCCCTGCAGAAACAGATTGAGGTTAGACAGGTGAAGCTGCAGGGGTGAGGGGCATGGGATGGCCAACTTTAAATGATGCTGATTTTATTTGACATCTCCTCGGTGTGACCTGTGTGAAGCTGCTGGAGAGTGGAGCTTTGTTTTGCTGGAAAACAACATTGTCCTCAGCCTCACACAAACACAAGCACAAACACACACACACACACACAAACAACCGCTGACACGCAAACTTTGTAATGTGATCTCCTGGTTGCCAGGTGACGGCTCCCTCGAGCTGGAGCGCAGCTTGCCACATCATCCCCTTTATCTTTTCCAGGCTGCAGCCCACATCTTTTTGTGTCCATCTACTTCTCACAGTTTGTCAGACAGACAATTGTCCAGCGACCTAACGGCCTGCAACAGTGTGGCTGACGAGAAGCTGTCAATGGCAGCATTATGTAAGATGCACTGCCGTCTCTCTCCAGCATTTCAGGCTTAAAAACATCTAAAAAGAACTCATGCTGCAGCCAGGAAGCATCAGTGGTACTATGACGGCTGTGAAGGGATGGTAATTATTAACAGAAGCTCTGATTTCTCATCACTGTGGCAGGGTGGGACAGTCAAAAGATCCAGGAAGTTGGAGTAAGGTATGTTGGCAGCGATAACACACCTTATTTACTTTTCCAAGCTGCCAAAGGTGACTAAATCCACTGGGGAAAAGCCAGGCAGGGAGGGGTAATGCAGAGCAAAACACACAGATGAATACACTCAGGAGATTAGAGCATTTCAAAATCCTAAACTTTGACCCCTGGCGGGGTTTTTTTTTCCCTCTCATGTTTATTGGCTCGGTGTGAGATATAGGTCACTATAGCACCTCAGAGGAAAAAGGCTGTGCGGAGGGAAGGGAGGTTTGTGCGACCGTGGCTGGGAGTTGTCAGATAAAATGGGAAGGGAAAGGTGGAGGTGAAGCGAGAGCGTGACCTAATGGCACCACTCCTTCCATCTGAAAAATGTATGACTGCAAAGGATTTGAACGTGAGGTAAATTGACTGTAAGGCCACCTGAGAGGGAAAGCAGGGAAGGAGAGAGAGAGAGAGAGAAAGAAACAGACAAGGGGAGTGAAACAAGTGTGCACGCCTTCAGAACAAGAAGATTAGCTGCTGTATGTTGTGCAAACAAATGAAGGATGTACAGTATTTTCCGCACTATAAGGCGCACTTAAAAGCCTTTAATTTTCTCAAAAAACGACAGTGCGCCTTATAATCCGGAGCGCCTTATATATGGATCAATTGGTTAATTGGTTGATCCATACTGGTTGTACACGGCGCTCAGCAACACTGACTCGGATAATGACGAGAGGGAGCCGGGCATGTTGGATGCCGTACTCGCCCAACTGTTCAATTCGGACACTGAAGAAGAAGAATTCGAGGGATTCGTGGACGGGGAATGAACTGAAAAAGTGAGCTTTACGTGTTAGACGTAACTGAACAATGTTGAGTTATGCACTAACGCAGGGGTGCCCAACCTTTTTTGAACCAAGATCTACTTTTAAAGTTACCAGTCTGCCGAGATCTACCAGTCCACATAGTGAGCCATAGCCTTTACCAACAGCCTACAAACGCATTTAATACTCACACAACAAACAGAAAATAATAAATGAGAGTTCTGTAAAAAATAATGCAGACTACAGACTACAGCAGGCTGCTGTGAGATGATTTTGCTTTTGTTAAATTAGCTGCAGACACGGTGAGAGTGAACGGAGTAAAGTCCAACCGACTGTTTGACCGGGTCACGTGTGTTCCCACCTCGGTCCGTACGGATCACGGATCAACTGTGTGCTGTAGCACTAAAAGTAAAAAGGTTTGCGTGGTGGCTGGCGCTCCAGTGCAAGTGTGTGCGTGCGCGTGTGCGTTTGCGCTGTTTGTTGGTGTGTCTCGTGCCCCGCGATGCTCACAGTCATGACAGCAGAGAGGAGCAGAGAAAAGTAGCTGCAGCTTCATCAAATGCGCTTAATACTCGTAGCATAGTTTCTATATATGACTTTTTGGTAAAACATTTACCCCCCCGGTTTTACCTGCACGTCATTGCGCATGCCTGCACTCTCTCTTGCGCGCGCTCTCTCTCTCTCTCTCTCTCTCTATCTCCGCCGCTCGCTCTCTCATGCACGCAGCAATTTCATGAATAAATGAAAAATTAAATACACACAGGTCGGAATTATACTTGGGCTCCCAACACAGGTATCGTGTGTGGGAAACAGTGCAATGAGATGAAATTGAAATCACTTTTCTATTTTACAATTGTATTTTATATTGACAAAACATCTCGCGATCGACTGAGAATCAGTCAGCGATCTACCTGTCGATCGCGATCGACTGTTTGGGCACCCCTGCACTAACGTTTGAATTAGCGGTATCAGACTGTGTTTCTTTTACGTGTTTACAACTGAACAAGGCTGGGAGATATTGTGAATATGCACATTAACGTTTGAACAACGTTGAGTTATAGTGAATGCACTACGTATAAAACTACGTTTTGAGAGTTAAGAGAAACGTCAAAGAAATAATTTATTATTTGGGGAAATCGTCTTATGTACTTTTGTTTTTGTAGTTTTATACGTTACGTTTTATACGTATTTATATTTATATATTCACAATATCTCCCAGCCTTGTTCAGTTGTAAACACGTTCTATTCTATGCGCCTTATAATCCGGTGCGCTCTATATATAACAGTTCTAAAATAGGCCATTCATTGAAGGTGCGCCTTATAATCCGGTGCGCCTTATAGTGCGGAAAATACGGTAGTTAAATTAGGTACGTTAAGTCTGAATTGGTGACTTGGAGAATAAAGCAACAACATTTCCCTTTTCTTCTTTCACTCCAAGCTCACTTCTGTAAACCAAAGGAAACATGAAAAAAAAACCAGCTATTTTGTGGACAATTTGAGTTTATTGTGAAACTAAAAGAATGGGAAAGTGAATTCATCCACGGTGCTTTTCTTTGCAGTTATTGATTTCCAGGTGTGTTGCAGAATATATGCCACAGCAACAATGACCGCATAACTAAATAGCTGGTCTTTTTGTACAAAGCTTGTTTGATTTGTTTGCTCAAGGGTTTTCACAATGACAGATTTTTAAACTAAGATTCTAGAGAAAAAAACTAAAATGTTTCAATATATGTTTTAATACTACAGCAACAAAAAGACGAGTCCTAAGCATTCCCATATGGGGAGATTTCTTCCTTAACTCCCAAAAATTGTGTGCATATTCCTGGAATCCTGTCCAAATACCACAAATATGTTGCCAGTGTTTCGGCCAACAGATTTCTGCAGTTTAGACCATTCTGTCTCTCTGTCGCTTGTGGCTGCTTCTGAAAATTTGACTGAAGATCTGAAGTATTTCTAAAGCTTCTGCAATTTTCAATACCGTTGATCACTTCAATAACAGATATTTAGAAAAAATTGAGAAAATAACACTACCTCAGATCAGGCTATGAGCAGGAATGAAAGATACACCGACTGTTTGGGGAACAGCATTAGTTGTTTCATGCCAGCCCGTTCTAACTCCATTAGTGGCCCTAAATGAAATGAGGAGTGAAAATCTCCTCTTGGGTAAGCAGTCAAGGGCTGAACATACTAGGTACCTTAACGTAGGAGAGCAGGGTTTGAGTTCAGTGTTAAAGAAAAAGTATATGTAGCCTTCTTTGGGTATTGTAATTGTTTAAGTAATAGAAAGGTTATTAAAGTTGTGTTCAAAGTTTGGACTCATTGGAACTCAAACCTTTATCTGTTTCCTGAATATAACATAGTGAAGTTTTTTTGCTGGAACTGTTTATTGTTATATTCTTACCTTATTTTGCCTATTAATGGTTGTCAACTTGCCTGATTTCCCCAAATTACACCCCAGAGTTGAAGAAATTATTTCTGATTCTGATTTTCAAAGTCTAACTGTACGTTAGCATTTAGCTACCTTTTATTGTCCTACAACTTGATCCCTGACCCCTGTGTGTACAACACTGACACCACAGTGGTAAATACATCTACTAATTTGAAGCTTCGGGCCAATGACCAATTTTCTTTGTTTGATGAGTTGGTTGTGAGAATGTGTTGTCAGTGCAATTTGGGTATGAAAAAATCGCCTCAGCTGCACAGAGACCTGACCTCGACCCCATCCAATGTCTTAAGGGTGAACTGGAACACCGACTGTTAATCAGACCTTATCAGCTGACATCAGTGTCAGACCTTCCTAATGCTCTATTAAGATTCAACTCCTGCAGCAAGCTTTACAAATCTGGAGGAAAGACTGAAACCAGCAGAGTGGAGGCTGTTAAAGCAGCATATTAATAATAGTTTGGGAATGTATAACTATTACATATGGTAAAGATTATATTCTTACACATATCTTGTGTTTATTTGTCTTATTAATGACAGGTTTGTTTGTCTTGTTTTTACTTTATGTCTTAGTACTGAGCCCTGTGGTCACTTCATCTTGTCTTGCACTGTGCTCTGGTTTGTACGTAAAAGGAGACTGACTCACTCTAAACAAAATCTACCTATGAGTACAAATAAAGTCACCTTACATTACCTTAGTGTCTAAAAACCTTTGACCATATCGTCAGCAGAGATGGCTGCTATAAATGTGGCAGCAGGGCTAACCCTCCCTTTCCTGAACAATGAGGTTAAAAAACTATTCTTAAAATAACTTGGAACAGTAGTTAGTAGTAATAGCAACCAAACCTAATAGTTATAAGTGATATCTAAACAGGCTTATTTATTGCAGCCTTATCACTGTAGCATCTTTGTAGTGTGAATGGGTGAAAGGTGTCATGACACAGCCCCTTATTTTGATTTGATTTCAGCCTCCAGGCCACCGACTTTGCCCAACGACACAAATGTAGCATTACAGACTGTAGAGATGCTCAGAAACTAACTTAGCATCCCTTAGCTTAAGAAGCTATTTATGTTCCTCAAGATCGATGACAGCAGTTCTAATTCTGTTAGACAAAAATAAACTCCCCTTTGCTTCCAA